AACGACGGGGGAATCGAGAAACAAGACCGGGACAACGGAAGAATACTACCGGGGAGCCCGAGGAAGGAAGGCCGAGAACAAGACCGGGGCACCCGAGAAAGGGGAGCAACAGACGCAGACCATGAGGAAAACAAAAGGTACCGATACCGCTACTCCCTGGACCTCTCCTGGGGTGCGTTCTGACCAGGACTTCGAGGCTAGTCCAGCGGTGGCGACAAGGGCCTCCGAGGAGGCCCGACAAGGAGAAAACTAGGAAAGGGTATAGGTATGGGTACCTCTTCCTCCCCTGAGACCAGGGAACCGAGGAAGGGCCGGGGAATCCATTTCACCAGAGTGGCGGACGTGAGCAAGGCAACAGGGACAGGAAGACCCGGGAACCGAGCAGGCCGGAGGCCGCCTCTCTAAATTGGGGCGCCGCACCCAGCGGCTCTTGAGCAAGGAACAAAGCGCCCTGCGGCCAGCCTGATTGGGAGTGTTTGCAAGAAGCGGGCCGCCAAAAAGGCGAGGTCGGCGAGACCGCACGAGCGAGCGCGCGGCTCGGACTCGCTGTCTTGGGAGCCTGAGTTGGACAAGGAGGATGCTGGAGTCGAAGTGGTGACCAAGACATGGCAAGGCGAGTAGCCAGAGCCGAAGGTGGGAGCCAGACTCGTTTTGATAGGGACCTGGAATCGGAAAAACTACAACGAGATGGGGACCAAATTCGGAAATGTAAGGGGTCGGAATCGAAGCCAGAAAAATGAGGTGGGAGCAGGGGGCGGGCTTGTGGAATGGAAAAATGACGAGGGCTGCCTGGTCCGGCTTCTGTATTCAAACCAGAGACGCCCTCCCCCCTCCTACCCGCGTCTCCTTGTATCCATCGCCTCCCCTCCCTAGACCACGAGCCCTACAAAAAACACGAGTGGTTCACGCTCTCGAGGCCGCGATCCCTCAGACAGAAACGATGGATCCGCGTCCCGAGCTTCCAAGACGGCCCATGCAGACAGGCAAGGACACCAAGATGGCCCAAGATGCCTCGAAGGCGGCCCACGGTGGTCCTATGACAGCCCAATATGGCCTCAAGACGGCCCAAGAAGCCTCAAAGAGAGCCTACAGGGGCTACATGAGGACCTCCACCAGGGTCCGACGAAAACCAACATCATTGATTTCCGCTGGGTGTTTGACTGATTTTCGCATTCTCGTCTTTCGGGCTTCCGTCAGCGCAAGCAGGCCCAAGATACCTCCACGATAGCCCCAAGACCAAGACGGCTTGAGAGACCCTTAAGAGAGTCTCAAGATGACCCAAGAGGTCCCACTATCGCCCAAAAGGCGTCCCAAACTGCCCAAAAACGGCGCAAGAGAGCCTCCCGTGGGACCCAAGACGGCCGTAGAAGACCTGTCGACGGCCCAAGGCGGTCCCACAATGGCCCCCAGAGACCCACCATACGGCCAATAGGGCCCCAAGACGGCCAGAGATAGCCCCAAGACGGGGCAAGAAGACCCCAAGCCGGCCCACGAGGGCCCGAAGGGACCCCCAAGACTGCCACACAGGAGGCCAAGACAGCCCAAGAATGGCCAAAACGAGTTCCATGAGAACTCCTCAGTCGTGAATACGAAGATTGTCACACGATACGACCCTCCTCTTCCTTCTTCTCGTCAAGCTCCTCCTTCTCCTCCTCCTCCTCCTTCTCGTCATCGTCATCGGCATCATGATTATCATCATCATCATCACCATCATCATCACCACCATCATCATTAGCATCATCATCATCATCACCATCACCATCACCCACACAATTACCCGCATCCTCAGACTCATCCTCATAATCATCCGCATCCTCATGCTCATCCTCAATATACTCATCATCACCCCCATCAGCATCGTCATCACCATCACCATCACCACACAAATAATTACCAGCATTATCAGACTCATCTTCATAATCATCCTCATCCTCATGCTCATCCTCAATCTACTCATCATCACCCCCATCATCATGGCCATCATCATCATCATCATCATCATCACCATCACCATCACCATCACCATCACCATCACCATCACCATCATCATCGTCATCATCATCATCATCATCATCATCATCATCATTATCATCACCACCATCTTCACCATTATAACCAGCATATTCAGCAACAACACCATCGCCATCACCAGCCACATCAATCTCATCATCAATACCAACAACATCACCACCACCATCATCATCATCAGCATCATCATGATCATTATCATGCTCATGAACACTCAGCACCACCACGATCAGCATCACCACTATCATTGGACGCATCACCATCATCGTCACCGTCATCATCCTCGACACCATCATCCTTATCGACATCAACATCTCGACAATATCAATCATAATGTTCCCCAACATCAGCAAGAACATCATCATCCTCATCACGGCCCTCCCAATTATGGAGACACGAGGTGTCACACGTGACGGTCTCCCGTGCCGCCTCGAAGAATCACCTCCCAGAATGGTGGACTGGCACGGTGGCGGGACTTGCAGCAGGCAGCTGGATGTCCAAGCGGATGGAAAATGCCTTGAACGCTCCCGAATCCTTGCTCACGGCCATGCAAGTTAGTGAACGCATGCGCGCAGATTGGTACTCAAAGCGGCCTGGTGAGGATCCAGCCCGGCCGGGCCTTGAGGCGAGAGTCAGTTCTCCAGCTGTCGGGCTACTGACGGCGAGTGCTTTTTTGTCGGAAGGGAGGGGCGGAGGACGACCACGAAACCCCAAACAAGTGAAAGCTCACTCTGTGGCCCGGGTGCTGGTGGCTATTCTTGGAGAGAAAACAAACCTACCTCGCTTTTGACCACCCTCGCTTCCAAGAGATACCAAGCGACGCCAAATTGCAGCCTGTACTGGTCAGGCCGCTTGACGAGGAGGCGCGTGGTATGGCTTGGTTTTGCCTGGAAGCGAAAGCGGGGTAGGTAATTCACGCTCTGATACTAACGGCGAGTGCTTTTTGGGGGAGGGAGGGGCAGAGGACGACCACGAGACCCCAAACAAGTGAAAGCTCACTCTGTGGCCCAGGGTGCTGGTGGCTATTCTCCTCTGCCCCGCGCGAGCGTGGGCGCCCCCGGCCCCGGGCGTCTGCCGATCCGCCTGGGGCCGAAAGGGCGGGCGCGCCCGGGAGGAGGAGGAGGAGGAGGGAGGAGGAGGAGGAGGAGGAGGAGGAGGAGGAGGAGGAGGAGGAGGAGGAGGGAGGAGGAGGAGGGGGAGGAGGAGGAGGAGGAGGAGGAGGAGGAGGAGGAGAAGGTGAAGAAAGAAGCGGGAGAGGAGGAGGAGGGGGTGGAGGAGGAGGCGGAGGAGGAGGAGGAGGAGGCCGACGAGGGCGCTGCAGCCACGGGCAGAGGCGGGAGGCGGAGGAGGACGACCAGAGGTGACGGCAAGGAAGAGCAGCAGAAAACTGCATTGACGAAAACCGTCGGACTTTCTCCCCTCCCCGGCACGCAGGTCGTGCCTTGGAACCCCCCCCGGTCCAAGAAATCCGCGCGGGACTTCGAATTTTGATGGCACTGTCCTTTTTTCAATAGGGTGCTCAAAGAAATCAGGATGAGAGAGTAACATAAAGTCAACGGAAGCCTGGCACGAATACGCAGGCGCGCCGGTCCACGCTTGAATTTCCTTGGTTCATTTGCTTGGTCCGTGTGCTTCCTCAGCGAACGCGCACAATACCAGTGCACTGGGGAGCGGCGCGCGCCCAGGCCGTCTTGGAGGCCTCTTGGGCCGTCTTGAGGCCCCGTGGAGGCCCGGGGATGGGCTAGTAAAAACCTTGCCCGGATCAGGCCGTCTTGGAGGCCTATTGGGCCGTCTTGAGGCCCCGTGGAGGCCCCGGGGATGGGGTAGTAAAAACCTTGCCCGGATCAGGCCGTCTTGGGAGGCCTCTTGGGCCGTCTTGAGGCCCCGTGGAAGCCCCGGGGGTGGGGCAGCAAAAACCTTGCCCGGAGGACTGCGGAGCGGGCGCCCCCATGCCAGGGGGGATCTATGTATATGTATATCTCTATGCGCATGCATACATGCATGCATGCATGCATACATGCACTCATACATACGTACGTGCATGCATACAGATATACTACATCCATACATACATCCATGCATACATACATGCGTACATGAGTACATGCATGCGTGCAAACATACATGCATACATATCTACATACACACATGCATACCTATATACATACCGACCTACCTACCTACCTACCTACCTACCTACCTACCTACCTACCTACATACATACATACATACATACATACATACATACACACATATATACATACATGCATACCTACCTACCTACCTACCTACCTACCTACCTACCTCCATACACACATACATACATACATACATACATACATACATACATACATACATACATACATACATGCACACATACACATATACATACATACATACATACATACATACATACATACCTATATACATACCTACATACCTACACACCTACCTACCTACCTACCTACCTACCTACATACATACATACACACACATACAGACAGACAGACAGACAGACAGACAGACAGACAGACAGACAGACAGACAGACAGACAGACAGACAGACAGGCAGACAGACAGACATACCTACCTACATATATACAGGCAGGCAGGCATACACAGAAAGACACATGCACATACATTACATACATGCCATTCAGTGCATTCCATCGAAGTGCATGACACAAAAGGGCATGGCGGTACAGCGCAGTACAATACATTACAGTAAGTACATTGCACTGCATTCCGTACGTGCGCACACACATCCGTACGCACGCACGTGCGCACCTACGTGCATGCACACGTTCAGACACGCGAGCATCCATTCACTCATACATACATACGTACAGACAGACATACGCACGTACTGACACCTCCCCCGAACGCACGCAGCCGCGGGCGGCTGCGAAGGAGTGCAGCGGATCGGGGCGGCGAGGGCCCTCCGCACCCCCCCCCCCCTTAGCGGCGGGGGCCTGGGCTGACCGCGGTGGCCGGGGCCCCCAGCGGCCGCGCCCGCGCGGCCCAGCGGCCCCCCGCCGCCGCCCCCTCGAGCGGCACGGCGATCGCTCGTACACCAGTGGGACGCACAAGGGCATAGTGCAGACGAAGTGCTACCCCACAGGCGTTCAAGTAAGGAGCGACAGGTCTGGCCACGGGGGCCTCGGCCACGAGCCAATTCCCCGACCTAGCTCTAAGGAACGGCCCAAAACCCGAGCCCCTCCTGAGCCCAAACCGGTCCGTATCTGTACAACCCGAGCATCCAGAAGCGCCCGCCACCATCTTGTGCGATCAGATTTCTCGGTGCGCGCGCATCGCCTCTTCGGGGGCGACACGCATCGTATGAGTATGCTTGGGTGGCGCCGAATCCACCCTCCTCCGCACCTGTTCTCGCTGTGTCCGCCCCTCGCGCTCCCCCTTCGGGTCGGGCAGGCGTGGGATTCGGGTGGGTTCGAAGGACTCGGGTGGGCCGTCGGGACCATGACGAGCCCATGTCTGGAGGTTGAGGCGAGCTCCCGCTGCAAACATCTCGCGACCACGGGCCGCCGTGCCCTTCAAAAAGCGCCAGCGAACCCAAGTTCCGGCGAACTCGAGTCTTACGTTCTCCCGATCTGATGAGGGGAAGCGAAGGGGGGTACTGGCTCAATGGGGGGCACACATCGACTCGGAGTTGGCAACGCGTCGCCGATACGTCGGCGATGGGCCCCCGATTGGGAATCCGTAGAAGTCCTGGGCGGGGTGGGCAAATGGGCCCCTCTCGGCGATCCATCAGCGACGGGGGGTCGATGCGTCCCCCACTGGGCCTATCCCCCCCGCTATTGTTTCTCCGATCTTTGAATACCAGAACCTACCGCAGACGGAACTACCCATCGGTCGGAAGAAGTAGGTAGAAACATGAAGTAGGAAGGCGTTGAAAGTAGATTGAGTTTCCGCCCGCCTCCTGAAGAGGAGGGAAGAGGGACAACCACTCGACTCTTGAAGTAGGAAGGCGCTGAAGGTAGATTAGAATCTGGGAATCCAAAAATACCTACTTTCAACGACCGATGGGTACACTTCCTCCGACCTTGTACTGTGCCGAACGCAGCGGCCGCGTTGTCTATAGACGCATTCACCCCGAATGTGTACGCATACGTACCGACACCCGCTGGATCTGTAGACGCGCGTGGCCAGAAAGTGAGAATGGTCTTTGGCATGGGCCCGAGACAGCGGCCTGCGAGAAGCAGGTCGACTGTGCCCCCCAGCCCCGATCTGAGGGAAGGGAGGCGCCACGGCCTCGCGCCCCCGGCAACTCCCTGGACACCCAGCTGCTGACATTTTGCCGAAGCCTGGGCCCCGGAGGCCTGGACCACTGCCATATAGAGGTCCTCCTCCTCCTCCTCCTCCTCCTCCTCTTCCTCCTCCTCCTCCTCCTCCTCCTCCTCCTCCTCCTCGTGGTGTCCGGAGCGGTAAGATTGGGGAGCCCACAGAGGACGTGACTACGCGCCCAGCTGTGCACGTGAGCACGGCCCCTCGATCCGCGAGACCCGCCGCGTGATACAAACACTCGCGCAGTGCGTACTCTCGAAGCCAGCGTGGATTCATGCACGTGTGCGTCCTTCTTTCGCTCCTGAAAGATCGGATGCAATAACATAGTACAGTCTAGCAGCATAGAAGACAGCATGTGACCGTTGAAGATCAGCCACGGCAATGTACCGTAACGTAGGGTGCGATGCGGTTGTTTACGATAGCATAGGGTGGGGCGGCATAGTAAACTGTGCGATACGATATTCAGTTAGACGATCAGGCCTGATCATACAATATAAGGAAACATATTCTCCTGCACTATAACAGTATACACCATACTATAAGACAGCACAGGATCTGACAAGACAGCATGAACTATTTGAATACAAGGCGTACTCGCGACCTTTGTTTGCCTGCTATATCCTACCTGCTATAAAGAAGAGCGGCCTCGAAGTGAAAGTGGATCTGTGTCCGCTGCTGGGAGACGGACGAGGAGGAGGGGGAGGGGGAGGAGGTGGAGGAGGAGGAGGAGGAGAAGGGGGAGGATGAGGGGGAGGAGGAGGAAAGGGGAGGAGGGGAAGGAGGAGGAGGGGAAGGAGGGTGGAGAAGGAGGAGGGGAAGGAGGAGGGGGAGGAGGAGGGGGAGGAGGAGGAGGAGGAGGAGGAGGAAGAGGAGGAGGAAGAGGAGGAGAGAGAAAGACATATCTATATATATATATAAATATGTATATATATATAGAGAGAGAGAGAGAGAGAGAGAGAGAGAGAGAGAGAGACTAGACACACGGCGCCTCAGGAGGTCGGAAGGTGAACGACGCCGACGAGGGACCCAACATGGGGCCGAAACGCTACAGAGTGGACGAGGGCCTGAAAGGAACCAGGAGGCAGGAGGGGGCAGGACGAAGGGGCAGACTTCGGCGACTATTTGCTTCTCCCTCCTTTGTACATCTTCAGTAAGACGACGCCAGGACGAAGACAAATTCGGACGAGGATTAATCGAGAATCTCTGAGACACGGCGGCTCTGAAAAATGTCTCGGGCGCCGCGGCCCTCTCTGAGCGTTCCAGAACGCTCCGAGATCGTTCCGGAACGCGCTGGAACGGATTCATCGCCGTCCTAGCCCCGTCCGACCTCTCTTCGGGTGGGCAGCACAGACTGCGACTGCTGCTCCGCTCCTGGTTTCCTCCCGTGTTGCCACTCGTAGAAGGGCCGGCATCAGAGTCGCTGGAGACGCGTCTGGGCGGGCATCTTACTTTCTCTGCCCAATGCATCTTACTTTCTCTGCCCAATGCCCGGGTCCTCGCCTGGGAGAGAGGCTGCGAGTTGCGGGAGCGAAGGGGCGCAGGTACAGATCGACAGTATCCCCTCGAAGTATCTCTTGTGCCGCATGCGGATCCAGGGAATGTGTCGAAATAGATCCAGAACCATCGCGCACGCTTCGCGCGTGCCCAAGGTCTACTCGCCACGGGGCCAAAATGAAGCGCGCCAACGGGGCCGTGTTCGGAGGATGGGGTCCTTGGCTTGCACTGAGAACCTCCTAGGGGGGCCTGGCACCGTCTTGCACGGGGTCCTCTCGGAACTCCGGCAGAACTCCCGCGGGGCCTCCAAGGAAACCTCCCGAGAGGCTCCAGGAAGCTCCGGGAGGGGAGGGGGCCCGCAGCGGCTGGACCCATGGGTGTGCTGCGGCCCCGGCCCCCGGGGCACGGGTGCCCGGCACACGGGAGAAGAGGGTGCCGTGAGATCTGGGAGCTGTCGTGGCCGTGGCCCTGGCCGTGGCATCCAGACATCCCTTAAAGGCTTGTGGATGCCATGACAGTGGGCACTCGAGCGGCCCTATCGTTGCATCCTAACTGTGCTCGCAACATTTTAACAGCTCTATGAAACATGCTTGAAACATGGTGTTCACATGCTATTGAACATGCCGCGCACAGGTTTTACGCATCTGAGAGCTTACTCGGCTGCATACCTCCCCTCCATTGCTCGTCTTCCACAGCCCTGCGCCTCGCCCTCCCCTTGCGGAAGAAAAAGAAGATACGCCATAAACATAAACTTTTGGCGCTCCGCGCGGATTAAGTTTATGTTTATGGCGTTTTGCTTTTTCTTCCTCGACCTTGGGCGCCCCGAAGCGTCTCGTCTGCCCCGGGTTGTCCTGCTCTCTCCCGCAGCAGGCTCCGCCGCCCCTGAGCACTGGACCTCCGACGCGACTCGATCTCTCCCCTCGCACCGCTGACCCCAGGATCCCGTCGAGGCCTCCCACGGGCCTGGCGCTGTCTCTGGGGCTGCTTCTGTGGCAAGGCGAAGCCAGGACGAGGGCTGGACCTAAATGTGGTTTTTAGCTTTGGTTTCGTTTTGTCCTTCGTCTTGATCTACCTGTTTTCCTGTACCTCCCTCCCAACACGAAAAACAAAACACAGCCGAAATCCAGCAAAACAGCGTTTCAGCGTTTAGGTCCAGCCCTGGCTAGGACGAGGATACAGTTGGGTACAGATAGCTCGAGGATCTTTGAGATCTGGCGGCTTTGGAGGCTGTCTCGGGCGCCGCAGCCTTCTCAGAGAATTCCCGCACGCTCTGGGAGCGTTCCGGAACGCTGTGGAACGGATTTATCCTCGTCCTGGCCCCGTCCGATGTTGGCAGCCCCGGCAGGGCCCCGAAAAGGCCCCTCCTGGGGCCGGACGTGGCGAAAAGCCTCTGGCGCGAGATCTCCCGAGTCCCCAAGGAGACGCCACGAAACTACTTACATATGCAGGCACCCTCCGACAAGCTTTGCATGTACCTTCTGGGAGGGTGGCGGTGTATATATAGCCGCTGGCTCTCAGTGGTGCTTGTACACCGCCACCCTCCCCTGAGTCGGCTACGCGTGAGGGTAACCCTGAGCAAGAATGATCCTTCGTGCGCGACTTCACGGGAGACGCGGGGCGGCCCAGCCCGGGCGCGCAAGGCGCTGCTGCCGCCTCGCGTTGGGCGATCGGGGGACAGCATTGGACCCGCACCAGAAGGACCGTTGGTGCAGGCCCACTGCTGTCAAAGGTCACTCTGGCGAAAGGTGACTCAAACGTCTGGTCGACTGAGGCCAAGGAAGGATCCATTGGGGGGTGTCTGTGCGTATATGTTTCATGGGGGGACGGAGTCATGGAACCGCTGCCCCTGCCGCCGGAAGCTCTTTCGGCGCTCCTGCACGTCTTCTGCCGCTACCCCTGCCGCTGGAGTTTCCAGGCCGCCGATGTCGGCTTGCCATCGCTCGGACATTCATTCACCGTGCATGCTTCGACTTCGTGCGTTGATTTCTGCTCGATGATGATGATGATGATGATGAAGATGATGATGATGAAGAAGAAGAAGAATGATGATGATGATGATGATGATGATGATGATGATGATGATGATGATGATGATGATGATGATGATGATTATCCCAGTGCGACCCTACCTAGGAGTTGGAACCCCTAGGAAAGCAGCATTAGTAGTAACAGTAACGCTAAGCTAAAGCTAAGCTAACGCTAAGCTAAAGCTAAGCTAAAGCTAAGCTAAAACTAAGCACAAGCTTAAGCTAAAGTTAAGCTAAAGCTAAG